CTCGGTTGTGTACTTGGACGTGACACCGACAGGAGAAAGCTGGAGCGCGGAGACACCAGCAAACAAGCGAAAATAGTGACGAACAAAATGCTGAAATCTTGGTTGGGACAAATCAGACGTTCAGCATTTCCCCCAACCAAGGACCATGCCGTTTGCTCTTTCCACTTCCTGAAGATGATTGTGATGCTTCCTGGCGACTTCCCTATCTTTCGTAACATCTTCTGAAGCCAGGTGAGACGACGGGTGGTGGAGATTGACGAATGAAATAATGTAGTAGGTTTGAAAGTTTGCTGAAAATGTCTCAGGAGAGACGGCGACTTCCAAGCATCTTGTCCTGGAGGAAACCATTTCCTAGGCACAGTCAGCCTTGGGAAATGCATGAGAAGGGCGACAAATAGTTCACGGCACTAACAGCATTGAACACAGCACTTCTTTCACATCGTGAATACAATAAACCAATTGAAAATGACCAAATTCTGCAGTGATCGACCTTCTCTGTTGAGGAGCTAAGCCTTTCGTACGTCATCACTCCGCTGGTCGCTATGGCAACGTGAGCATACAATTGGCGATTTGGCAAGTTTGGCTTATCGTATGGAAACGAGAGATATGCCATTCGAACCGATATCAAATTGTCTTTCTTCTGGACCCTACTCGAAAAATCGATGCACTTCCCCTTTAATGTGGACGATCCTCGCACTCATGAAGTACGATCTTAATGACTGGGATTACAAACCTAAAATATTTAATAACTCGGGCATACTCAAAGTCAAAATGTGATGCACACATTGCACAGTGCTAACACCAAATGAACAGGGGTAACACCAAGAAACATGATTGTACACGTTTTCCTTTACATGTACATTGTAGGCATGGGCGGGTAATGCTAGTTATTTGCTGCGATAATGCCAAGGAAATGCTCATAATATGAGGATATACATGTACATGTAATGCCACTTATAATGCTCACACTACTCCATAATGCCAGTTTGAAAGTTGGAAAAGTCGATTTAGGAAGGCCGTCTTGGATCAAGGCCAAAGCGTAGAAGAAAAAAACTTAAACAGCAGTGAGCATGTTGTCTGAAACAATCCACTGAGAAGGTTGATTTGCAACGCCAAGTCTCCGGACGAAGCCGGACGGGTTCAGATGCACGATTTTCGGAACTGGCCCTAGCCAGCTTCATGCATGGAAACCGTTGTCGACCGGCAATTATGCTTGTAATGCCAATATTTTGCATGCGAAATGGTGTTATAATGCCAGCATTATGCCACCTGGAAAAAAGGGACTATAGTGCCAGCCATAATGCTAGCATTACCCTCCCATGCCTAGTACATTGTAACTATACCTGCATTGGCTTGCGTGTCTGTAAATACACCATCCTACACGTTCCGGGAGTATCCCCTTTTGCAGACATGGCAACCTCGACCCACATTGCACGTATCCATTTAGACATGTCTATTGTGTACAGTATTGGATAGCTATCCCTTAGTAAGCCTTAGGTCATAAAACACAAGGGCAGTTACATGCTGAGCACCCGAAATACGCGTTAACACTTGAGCCCAATTGGTCACAGAATGCGCGATGTGGAGTGTTCTTATAAAGCCAGATGCATTTAGTCGGCCGAAGAGTAGCACTTTGGAGTGTGGTATTATGGCTATTTGGAGAGGTATTTGGGTGCATGTATATCCCAGATTTTCTGCGAGAGGAAGATAGGCGGTACATGGCTGATGTGTATCATGGCTATAAACACACTTTTCTCACATTATCAATCGCACTTGGTGGAATATGAGCTTGGGTTAGAAATCGCTGCAACTCATACACTACCACCAATCTACCAGGAGTCAAGGTAAACCTTCACACTAGTGCACTTAGCCGTACTTATAATTATGCTAAAATAGATTATATGAATACTTTTAAAATTTGTGACACGTCAGTGTCAGATTTTTGATGTTACATGTACATGTACATACATGTATAGTGCTCTCCAGATTTCCGCCTTCCAAGTCTCAAGTCTCATACCATTGATGGTATGCTCTCTCGACGTCATCAATCTTCAAACGTAAACAAATGACTTTAATTGCAGATGAATGGTTTTAAGACGTGTGAGTTGTGTGAAGGCCTCACGCGCGCCGTTTTAGAGACGGACAGCGACAACAGAGTATTGCAGGCTGCACTGACTCTATACCATTCTATTGCGTATGCCGCCACAGGCGAGAGTGTTACAACTGTAGCCCAGTGAAGGCAAGAGCAACAAGAAACTGGGTTCTCTCTGTTCCAAGTGTGTGAACATCTCTGTACTTTGTGTGCATCAAGCACTGATGCAGCGATAGTGACCTTTATAGAGACCTTTAGGTCTCTGACAACAATGATTGATATCCATCATAAGTCTATTTAGCTGGAGATTATAGAGACCAAAATGCTAAGTATTATCGTGGGTCGTTAAGGGGTACTCTGGGACGGAAGCGTAGGTTGTATCGACATTTATGTACATTGTACATGTACATGTATAGCGAAATGACACTGCATTTTTCCTGAAGGCTGAACGCTTGTAAAGCGAAATACTTGTCCTTGCCAGGCATTCCAGTAAAGAGGCATGTAACAATGATGCACGTTCTAGGAGTGATGGTATTCTTCACGGATCTGGATGGGTTGACGGGCACGACCAGGCTGAATCTTTACTTCGTCAAGCGGAAAAATGCTTCGTCAGGATTGTGGTGGTATTCCACAATATGCCGGTGTAGGGTAAACAGGTCCATCATGATCCGTCACGAACAGAGAGGGACACGATGTCTATAATTTCACTTTTCATACAACCATCTTTTCAACCGCGTCACACTGTCACAGAGCGCTAATCAGGTGAAGGAGTCTCTTTGATGGGGACGTATGTACATGTAAATGAGTCGGTGCATGGACTGCATCTGAGCATTTGAGGTACAGTACTATGTACCTCCACTTGTCATGTACAGTAGCTGCTCACACTCACAGGCGATACAGTCACACATACATGTAGCGATGGATCAAGTCTAGGACTCAGAAAGGGGAGTGTGAAGCTGTGAAGTGCGGTGACATGGATGAAGGTTTGCTCGGTCATGCTGGTGTAGGTATGTGGCCTCTGTGGGACATTGCCCCAAGCAGAGGTACAATGGCGCATATTAGAGTGCAAGTACGGTGGTTGCAGTCTTGTTTAATAGTAATACCGACACGACATTATAGTTGAACTGCGGCATTGACCGAGGACGTAGTACGTACATGTCCATGTAGGTAACTGAGACGCCGAGAGGAACATTTTAAACTGATTAACGGCTTGTGCTGGTATGTCTAGAGTGGTTTTGAGTTCAAGTGCGAGCTGCATCGAATTTATCTGAAGGGCCATGACTCAGCAGGCGTACCAGCATGCTGAAGTACGGACGAGATTGCTTCTCAGCTGCTAGTTGGAATGAAAGTGAAAGATTGAAGCTCTTTGAAATGTACAGTCCACCGCTACTTGATTACAGTCCACTGATATAACGTCTGTATAGAAGCAGAGCACTAGCAGAGTGTCCACGCTCAAAGGCATACGGGTGTGTGCATGAGTCAGATAATCTTTCAAGTCCGAGGACGAGAAGGACCAGAACACGTAACGATACATACATGCACATGCACAATAGTCCAATAGGCAATACTGCACATACTACCACCGTGGATATGCACACAAGGTCACAGTACGGACACATTATCATGTACAAAGTAGATCTACGTCACGCAAGAGTAATGTACATGATTGTCTAACCAAGTCGCAGAGGACTACCAATAGTACTAATGCATTGTACATTGTACACCTAAACGAAATTAAGACGAGGCACATACTGTGCGTGTAGTATTTTTAGCATTTCAAGATGCGTGGGAGATATCTTTGGATAGCACGCGGCCTGCTGAGTACGACGCAAAGGTACTTGCACATGCATACATGTAAGTTAGTAACCTACTTTGTCCTTGTGCCTGACCTGATCAATGAATGGTGGCCATAGTGACACTAATGTCTTGTATATTTTTATGATACTGGTGACTGATGTAGGATGGGAAGTAGTTGTGCCTGCCTCGCTCTAGCTGCTGACATTGACACTGAGCTTATAATTGTAGATGGTTATCCTAGCATTGACCATTGTGTTGAGTTAGTGGCTGGCTAAGTGCAGCATATTACAATCTTGCACCACTCGGACTACTTGCAGTTGTAGGGCTCTGAACGGCAAATGTCGTCACTCTCCTTGACAGTGGCTACGGGACTATTTACTAATACTACTAAGCGTTCAAATATCGGAAGCCAGTGCACAGTCTTTTACGTCACTAGTCATTTCTCTGAGCTGAGGCTGGGTTGACCGTTGTCGTTTTGAGACGCATTCCGTGCATGGTACAGAACGAACCATCCATGGCCACCGGCATGGTGAGGCTCGAAACTGTAATCTGTAGCAATGTGAGATGGGTGCACGTGACTAAAGTTCTGTACGAAAGAACATACTCTGGACTTGTTGAGTGTTGAATGTTGAGAGATGGTCATCAGGCAGTAATCATACTTGCATGCCGGGTTGGTATTCATTTTGGCAATGGACCCGAAGACAATTAATCACAAACGTGCACCATAACAAATGTCCAAACCCATAACCAGTGCCTCACAGTCATACGTTTCGATATCAATGCTTCCGATGTTGTACCTAGCCTCTCGGATGCTCCACTATTCCCCATAATTATACCGTTGGATCGTGAACCCCAAACCAGAGCATCTCCACTGTGACGCATTTCGTTCAGCACTGGCCTGGACAAAACTATCACAGATTCATAATGTTCAGTTCGGCGAGGCGAACACGTGATCAGTGCTTACCGCCCATCCCGTGCAGTTTTCGGAGCAATGTGCCTGAAAACCATGCCTGCCAGGTCCCGGGATTCAACTCATGTTCATGACGTAGTCTCTAAAGACCTAAGCCGGGTATTTGCCTGAACTTTCGAACTAGCAAATACGCAACTCTGGCCTTTTACAGAACTTCTGAAGATCGATACGTGACCTGGGCAATTTACATATACATGTATGTGCTTTCCGCAGTAGTAGTAGTAGTACTTGCCCGGCTACTTGCAACTGCACATACAATTATGTAGCTGCTAATCTGCAGTGAACTGAGCAGATATAAGACAGGTTGAGTGATCGAGTAATAGCCAGAAACAAAGAGCTGCACAAGAGAAACATTAAAATTCGGAGTGGGCTCTTTGGTCAGGTTATATTCCTTGGAAGCAGCAGTAGTGATTGGAACTGTAGAGTACGAGTCGTAGAGTGTACTTGCCAACTATGGTTGATTTGCACTCACTTGAGTCTTTTGGTGCTAGCGCATCACAGCCCTCTCGAACTGTCCATCCCAGCCAGAATTGTTGTGAGTCCGAGAAGGCCATCCCGGGAAATAGAGTATTGGAGGGAGGAAGTGCGTTGCAATCATCATCGTTTCAAATATACCCCACCCACCAGGCCACAAACAAGAAGGAAGCGTCCCAGATCTGTCCAACATCTACAATGATGAGTCAAATGTCTTCCGCTGTTGATCCCTACACATCATTGTATTCTGAAAGTCCGGCGTATATGTTGCACGCGACTGGCCCCAGGGCTCCCCGTCAGCCTGTTCAGACACACTTTTATCCTGGATTCTTCCCTGCGGATCAAGCCAGTTTTAATGGACCTATTCGCAGGCCGAGAACGGGAAAACGACGCAAAGGCGTTCAGCAGCTGATCACAGCATTCGACGTTCTCAGATCACGGCTCTATGTTTACCCACCTGAGCGACATCTTAGCAAGATTGAGACTCTGCGGATGGCAATTTCCTACATCAAAGACCTTGAACGACTGCTGAAACAAGCGGACGATAGCAACCCTACGCCTGGGCCTGACAGTGAATCGTCAACTTCTAAAAGTGATAAAGAAGTGGAAGTTTCCTCTAACGCTTCGCCGAAGAACAATGCTTCACCAGGTCCTCAAACTGACTCATTGACCAGGAACACGGTAACAGGAGGCAAGGGATCACAAGAAACTAGCGAGAAATCTCAGACAGATTATGACTTGCTGACAGCGGGTAGCAAGGTCTTTCCTGAAATGAAATCAACACCAGACCTGAGAAGTGTTAATCTCAGCCCTGGTTTTCAGAGTGACTGCAGTGAGCTGAGAAGAGTGCTCTCGCAGTCATCCATTTTCTCCACAGCTAGCTGCCCGGAGTCTGCGCAACAACTGGGAAGAAATCATCTGACAGCGAGAGAGACATTGAGTAAAAGTAATGGTCTCTCCCACCATCTATTCTCCTCATTGAACGGAATAGACTCACCACTTTCACCCGCAAGTCAGGCAGCGCCAAGGTCTCCACGAACTTTTCACCAGCCATGCAGGGATTTGGTCAAGTCAGCTTCTACCGACCTGCACTGTGAAGAAAGAAGGGAAGCACTGGCAATGGCCAGCCACGCTCACTCATCCTACATCACTGGGCAGTGTGCAGCAGACGGTCTTCTATTTTCCCGACAAGACAGCCAGAGAGGAACTGTGGAATTAACGCCGCTGTATGAACCACAGCTATTTGTCCCATCATCTCACATCGCCACAAGTATGAATAATACCACCATCGTGGCTACATCGTCTCTACTTTGCAGCGCTGATGAGTCTCCGCTAATGCTCCCCAATCCTCTCTCCCCAGATCAGAGTCTAGACGGCGAAGATGTGGACATGTTCGACATGATAGAGAAAATGGTAAGACACAATTGTTGTTTTCATTGTCATTATGCCGATAGACAATAGTAATAGAATGGACAGATGCCCTAAATCTGAAGATATAATTATAGTATTAGTAGCACCCAATGTAGCATGTATTATGAGAATAATCAAGAACTAAAATATTGATATTGAAGTGCAACACCACGGCATATGCCTTTTTCTATAGGAATGGCTAAAATACCATTTCCAGTGGTGATCGTGATTGTTAGCAATCCTACTGATTTAGAAATGGTGGTAGTTGCCGGGGTACAGCGTTTCGTGCCTGACAAGACGTTGAAATCAAAGTTCACTACGACACTGTAGCACTGCTTAGTGTAAGGCATGCCATGAACACATTAGATGCCGCACATTTCCAAAACCTTGAGAATACTTTAGGGAGAGGAAGGCAAGCCAATCCTGTACTTTCTTGTTTGTTTTGTGCAGCTCTCTGACAGCGATAGTGAATCTTTCGATCCATGGATATCTCTATGAATCTAGGGGCTTTGGCCGACAGAAACTGAACAATGCTCCTCTACTACGGATGTCAAGGACGGCGGGATAGGAGTAAGAATTGATCGAAGATTAGTTAGTGCAGTCAACAGCTGCCTTGTGCTTTTGTGAACATACTTTTTCCATAATAATCTGAACAGTAGTGAGTGACGTTAGAGAATGGCCACACCTTTCCCCATTGTGCAGAGTTACTCGAGCACAGAAGAGGAGGTAATCTCCTAGCACAATTGACGCTCACCGTTACCTATTTCAGCGCAGAAAACCTGACGGACTAATTTCAATTTTACTTGTCCTTTAGAGTTAGTAAACACACCTTTCCCAATCAAATCGCCAGCATGTACTGGATTACCGTTCTAATTATTTCACATCCTTCACTATTGTTTGCTTAATTCTTCCTATCCTCTACGTGCACCAATACGATGTGAGACCCGCTTATGCACCGATTTTATCCTTGACCATTGCTTGAAGCAAGATCACAAATTATGCGATGTGCCAATCTATTGGTAGTGTCCCGTGTTCAGTATTGTGTGTATTCCATGGAAGATACACGCTTATTAATGTATCTTTTGAAGATACTGTGCATGGGGTATGTACACAAGGCCAGAATGTGTTGATGGAAGCAAGGAGTGTACTCGCTGCAGACCATCCTGCTGGGTGCGATGATAAGGTAGATTAAACAGAGGATCAGTGGCAACACAATGAGAACTCATACCGTTTTCCTAAACAGTTTTGGGTCAATATATCTCATTGCTCACTGCTCAGCAAAATGGAAGACGCACACATATGCTCAATAACGGCATTTCGAAGGAAATGGAAAGTTTCCCCGGAGACAAAAAATGCCAGAAGGCTAAGAAAGAGCACATACTTCAGGTTCTTCAACAACAATGCTTTGAAAACTTTGACAAATAAACTTTCGTGCTTTTTCTTCAGGTAAAACAGCGCAAAAAGCAGTAGCGCAAAACAACAACAGGAAATGCGTGACCCATACCCAATAAGGAAATGGTAACAAAAATGATCCATTTACATGTATCACCGTCAGTTCTCTTGGAAATAAATTACACAGCACGAAATCTATTAGGAAAAGCAAGTTGACACTGAATGTTGCACCACGAACAAATTTTAGGATTCCTATTTCCGAACATCCTGTTGACGGACACGTTTCTGGCGTGTCCGTGGCGACGTGAGATTGTGATTACAGGTTAAGCTAACTTCACACCGTTGAAGCACATTTGGGGGTTGGGGTAACATTTACCATACATGCATATTTGCTCAATTATTATTTCCACACACAAGGACTAACTAATCACATTCGATATCTAATTGCCTAGATGAACGGAACAGTTCCTGTCCACGAGGACCAGAGTACCGCCTGCTATGGGAATAGGTCTGACAGATCAATCGCCTTGGGCTACATCTGTCACAGGCCATGTACATGTATGACCTGACAGTACATGTCAGTGGTGTGTGTGACCTTGTACATCTCAGCTCATCTCAGCACATACACTAGCGCGAACCAGCTGGTATGAATACAATGACCCTTTCATTTCATAGCAGACGAGTGTTTCTCTGCGCCCACGTCATGGATATTACATATTAGCAAAAAAACAATAGGTGACCATGAAACCTAATAGATGAACAATGCAAGGGGAAAGGGGAAATCAATAATGATCACTCTTGTCGTAGATCTCCCGAAGGTATGAAGGCGACCTTTAGAGGGCAACGATTTGGATCACTTAGACCACTGGAATATTTCCGAATACCTACACATGGTAGTGGTAAATTACCGGTAATGGCAGAAAGACTTTGCACCGTACTGTGGTCGTAATGACGTTGGAATGCCAACAGAAATAGCTCCTCGTTTGCCAATCATCTAAAAGTGGCAGCTGGGCAAGAGTGCTCATTGCGAATCACATGTCCTTCCATTTGTTGTCACGCATGAGAATTGGCAGTAAAGCGTGAGTTGAAGCTAACTATTAGTACGGTCACATGGAGTACTGTGGTGTTACTTGAGTAAGACGGCACTGATGTACATGTACATGTACATCAGGAAGAGTAAATTCCCGTCAGGGGTACCGAAAGGGGCCTCCTCGTTCGTCTTCGTCGACTTCTGCAGTTCTCCTTCCCGTCAGGTCGAAAAAGTCCATTCCAGCGCATAGAAGATGCTCACTAACATCATAAATCTGACGGCCATGCACCTTTGGAAAGCTTCCTTCAGTTTCACTCTCTTGTTTGTGGTTCCAATCACCATCGGTGTGTTTTTAGTGAATCGTTGAACACACTTGGATAGGTATTGTTTGCCGCCATGATTACCGTGGCAACTGGAAACCACAGATTGGCAACTGGTGAGCAAGCACTTGAGCACCCTAGAGGCTAGTAGAGCTTCGAGAAGCCTCTGGAACCTTCTAGAAGTAGTCGGTGAAATTGGAGTAAAGCAAATTAAGAGTTACATGACCACTCCTCGCAGAGCTGTTGCAAACATCAGAGAACGTGCAATATCACTGCATGCACACTGTATTGAATGCATTGCGAATTGGCTATCTGCCTCGTGATGACCACAAAGCAGGCTATGGTCGACTCTTACAACCGGAAGTTTAGTAGAAAATTACCAGATATGCCAAAATCAGCTGTAGCAAGTATTGCCTTTTCTACATGCAAGACTTATCCAGTACTACTGTACTAGTACAGCCTACATGTATGGGAGAGACTCAGCTTTGAGACGACTTGGGTTTGGAGTGAATCAACGGACAGTTGGAAGAGTCTATTTTGGGTTGAAGTGCAAACCCTTTATGGCCTGGTTTATCTGGTGATGGTTTGAGAGACAGTGGACATCTAGTGGTAGTATCGTCTAGAATTAACTGATGACTTGAATTAAACCTGAAACAGCGGGAAGGGAAGATAACTATTGATGCCGGCTCAGCGTGAGGTGCGCATATTGGCAATCGTAAGGTATGCACTGCCGATAATCAGACAGTTGTTTATGGTGATGTGCAGTGTGTCATAAATATACAACACATGTAAAACAATCACACATACATGTAGCATTATACACATCATCGACAAACTATCGGTTCATGGAAATTCATGCAGGATCGGCCCAGTCTGCTGTAACTGGCATTATTATTGTGCCCGTAATAGTTTTCGTGATAAGCCAACCTTTCTCATGTACATGTGGAGGTATGACATTGGAGCGGCCTTAGTATAACTCATACTGGATGGGCACCACACATTCAGCAGCTCTTGTGGCCATCAGGGTGATGTTGGAATACTGCACTACAAAGAATACTTGTGATGAAACCAGGTCACATGAATCATCATGCCAGAATATACAGTACAAATACATGCGTATGTATGACAATGTGTACTGTACATGTACATAGTTGAGAAACACAAAAGACTGTTGTGAGTTATCATTGCTGCATCCGCTACCTTTTAAGTAGTCCTACACACTGTAGAACGGCTAATCAGTTTAGAGGGTAAACTTTTAGTGTTTTCAGAATCAGGACCAATAATTATCCGCGATGAAATATTTTAGCTGCAAAATAGAAGAAGAAAACACTTGGGAACGAGTTATGAATACTGGCTTTTAATGCTGGCTCATTGCCCCAGTTCAAATATTTTGGCGATCCGATTTTCGGAGTTTAAAAAAGTGACTAGTACCAAGAGTTCATAAGCCCAAGTGTGTGCAACTGGCATACACCCAGTGCTCGGCGAAATTCCTACATTACGTCATGTGCAACCTGTCATCCAAGGTAAATTTAGGTTCCTTGCGATTTCTGGAAACTATACCCGAAACCGCTCCTAATTCAAGGCTGTAGCCTCGACATTTCGAAACTCTTTTTGAAGACATTTCGGACGTAGCGTCTACGTACAAGTCGTGCTTTCTCAAAAACAAACAGAAACTCTTTCTCCAAGAATCCATGGACATCGACAGAAAGAAGTGAGGATGCTGTTAACGTTACAAGTGTAGCTTGGCGAGGCAAACAATATTGCATTGCCATCGAGGGTAATCATTCTGATAGCTGTGCAACTCAGCAGGCAAATGCTCCGTCGACACATTCTCAATTTCCTCAATCGTTTGAAATTATCTTCGAGGAAAGCACTGGAAATATACCAAGGGCCCGCGGCCGGGGAAGAAAAAGTTTTAGAAGAGACTGACTAGCATGACTGCACTGGCGAAAGAAGAAGGCGATGAAGAGTCACCACTGGCATCGAAAAAATAGTTTTGTCGTTACTTTAGGATCGCGCGCTTTGCTAGTTCTTGATCCGGGGACTCAGATCAGAATCGCCGTTTAGGCAGTTTGCCCTGAGGAAATATCCCGGTTTGATTGAGAATTCATCGGCATGACTCATCGCACTGCACCAAAAATGACGCAATGAAGGAATTCTGCCGAGCGGGCTTCCCATACTGGCCAACCCTCCCGTTTTTCCCGGGAAAATCCCGGAAAATCAACACTCCTCCCGGGTCCCGGGGATTTCAAGCAAACTCCCGGAAAAACCAAAGTTTTGTCTGATACAGGATTTTCCTGAAAACTCCATGGTTTCTCCCCGAATGTCCCGGTTTTTTGAACTTTTTTCAAAGGTATGTGAGGTGCTCATTCGCACTTCGAACTGTGCACAGCACTTTGAAGACCTGACCATGCAAGATCTGCACTGACAAAGTGACAGGCGGGCGCCGACTGATCATACTGCACTACAGCCTAGTATAGGGTCGATCTGTGCTGTACGCACAGCTGCAGAGTCGAACGTTTTTATGGCGGGAAAAGCTCTTTTTCACTTGTTTGTTGTGCCATCCAGGGATTTTGAGAGAAATCCAGGGATTCTGCATGTCTTGTCAAGGGATAGAGATTGTGGTGGTTGGTCAGTATGGCTTCCATGCAAGGAGTGATCAGGAGTTGCACACTATTGGGGGTTATGAACTCTTGCTAGTACTGTACTGCGCATGCAAAATTTCGATTGGTGCGGAAAACTTTAGCCAAGCCGCTTTACGGGAAAAGAGGGGAGGGGGGGGGGGCTTGAAAAATGGTGGCGAAGTGTTTGTAGCTAATCTACCTGGGGTTAAAACAAAAGAGTAAATTATCGCGTCCGTTCCCGAAGGGAACTCACGACGGCCGCTAACACCCGCTAAACCCTATAGCGGCAGATGCAGCGACTAACGGTGGGGGTGAGTGGATAAGTCTCACAACCACTGGCACAAGTGCCGAGAAACCCAATTTGCCACATCCATGTACCCCTTGCGCCTGGCCACACGTTCCCAGTTGACTGTAGGTAGCAGCAGCACGGCTGGAAAAACCGCTCCCATGCAGACTTGAACCAGGTACCTCTCGTATCTCAATCATGGTCTTTGACCAACCCACTACGGTGCCTGGCTGGGGTTATGGGAGTTGTAAATGTACTACTCAGTAGTATCCAGTTGCTATGCAATGCTATTCTGGTAGATCAAGTAATGGTCATCATAACAATTGTTCATGGTCATTCCGCCTACGCAATATGTCCATGGCAC